CATTTGAGAAAAGAGTATCCACATTTTAACGTCTGCATAAAGAACCATTTCTGTTTCCTAGCTCTATATTACCGTCTAAAATACCTTGTATGTCAGAGTTAGCACGCATTAGCCATCATTTCAATAACTAGAAGAAACAAGTAAGGTGATGGGTCACTTTGTTTCGTCCCTTTTTGTAATGTGAACGAATCTGTTGCATAGCCATATTCAAAACACTACTTTTAGAATTATTAAACATCGTTTTAATCAATATATAAAATTTCCTCCAAATCCAAAGTGACGAAGAACTGTAAACAAAGTTTTGCTCAATGGAGTCGAAGGCTTTTCGAAAGTCAGCTGCGAATAGAATATGATTCATATCAAACGCATCTCGTATAAACTGTGATTCATCAATATGTCGACCTTTCACAGAACCAGCTTGGTTAGGATTAACTAATTTTGGGATTAAGTCAATTATTCTATTACAAAGAGCCTTACTGCATACTTTAGCAACCAACATTCATTAATGGGTCGCCAATTCTCTATAACGTGAGTTTTTTCGTTTTTTTTTTTTACAATGTAATTATAAATTGATTTTGCGATGTTGGTAATCATGTCACAAGGTGCTATAACTATAATTATAGTTAAGACTGTCGGTAATTTTTCCCAATTCTCCCCCACAAAACCATATTAAGTTCGCCCTATACTAACGCCATCATTACATTGTTCTTGTTCAGAGACCCTCGCAACTCAGTTTTTCCTTAGTACTTGAATACGGGTTGTCCATTCTTCAGTAAAAGTACCTTTTCTAGAGTATATATCTCAATAAAAGTTTTCTTTATTGTTCGGAGTTTACCCGGGTCCGCAGTTTTTTTCGTCTTTCTTGTCTAATTATTAGTTTTTTTGTTTTGCCTTTTTTTTTTCTAATTTTTAAGAATATTTACATTTTTTTCGCCTTCCTTAAGCCAAGTTGCCTTGGATCGAATTTATAATTCCCTTAATATGAATAATGACTATATTGGATTAAGAGCGGATGTCAGTAAAAATCAAACATAACGTGCCAACTCTTGAAAAATCGATTTCGCTCATACTCTGAACTTAGGTACCCTATTATATAAGATAAACAACCATGTATTTGGTTTTTGAAAATAACGTTTCATTTATGAGTAAATTGAAKTTTCGTGGAACGATGTAAATATGCTAATTTTCGAGCTATGAAATGGCGATAAACTGATGGCCTCGTTTGGTTAATGCAGCAATGTTTCATACTTAAAACATTATAAGATAAAAATATCACCCATTTTCTTTCATTTGGGCGAGTTTTAGACTTGTGGCTTATATCTAAAATTTCTGGYRAATYTTTATAAATGACACCTGTTTTTGATCGTTAAAGGCCCAGCCCTGGCCGCTAAGCTTTGCGCGCCGAAATCAAGTCGCGGCCATTTTTCGTATATGGAAATTGTCCGTTTTGAGTTATATCTTGAAAATCCGTTTCCATCGGCTAACCAAAGAAACCTGAAGAATATGTAAAGTCACAGAATTGACAAAAGAATATTTGAGAACAATTCTAAGTCCTTTTTTTGTTAATAAGTACAGTATTTTTATAAGAAAAAACATCCAAAGTGCGGTCAGTCAAAACGGAGACCAACAAATATGGCGAATCCTTCGCGAGGAAGACCAAGACTTTCTGGAACTGCCAAGGTCATACGGCTTCGATCGTCAGTTTTTGACCTCTGGAACGAGAGAAAAGTGTCCTTTGGCTTCGGGGCCGCGACAAATAGTGAGTTCGCCGAATTTCTTTTGCATCGTCCATCGGAAGAAAGCAAGAGGTAAGTTGTGAAATTGCTTGAGACTTACTTACAGTATTTCTAAACCTGCTAAACTTCTCGTAATATTCAKTGTACACGGATAACGGGTAATATCGCTTTATTGTTACAGAAATTTGTCTGTGGAGCCAATTCTAGATGTATCGGATAATAATCTAGCTCATTTGTGTCCGATTGTAGGTTCAACTCCTTTGCAAGCCAAAAAGTGGACGAGCGAAGCGGTACAGAAACGGTTCAGCAAAAGAGCGAGACCAATTGATTTTGTTGAAACTTCACTGGAACAGCCCAGTCAAACCATGTAAGTCGAAAACTGTTCTTATCTCGCATTGGGAGGTATTTTCCTCATCTATTCTAATTTTGTGTGTGCTATAATATCGTCAACTTTACTAGCTTATAACAAAATACTTACATATTATATAATTTGAATCGAATAATTACTGCCGGTATTATCATAATCGATCATAATCGTTGTTGATATCGTTTACTTTGCTTTTCTTGTAGTATTTTTGCCTTATTCTAACTCTACGTATCATTCTATGAACCATATAATTTCGTATGAACCATATAATTTAGTGCTATCATGCTAGAATAGCTCCTACCAAGTAACTTCTAGTCAATTTTGTAGCAACAACTTGAAATAATACACACATTTGGTTAATATTGTTCAGTGTTTGCTTGGCATAATGTAGCCAGGTTTGAGGACATATTTTCTATTAAAAACTTTTATAATTTATAGAATGATGTATAAACAATGTTTTGCTTATTGATAAAAGCCATTTTCTTTCCTTGGAGGACATTTKGTTCTCAATTGTAGCTTGCTTATTGTGTGATTTTGTAGAGATGTTGATGTTACTGGTAAACCAAGTCTGCCATATCTTTGAATGAGTCCCAAGTTTCCCATTCAGCAGGTACAATTATTGTTGCCTGACATAACTTTCCCTGCAAGCATAGATCATTTTTGGGGGGGGGAGTAAATTTTCTGTGCTTGCAGGAAAACATAACTATTTCAATATGAATATTGTGACCCCCTCTGCCATATTTCATATATATCAAACTGACCTTAAATATTATGGGATATCATGACTGATATATTTTTTGAGTTGCCCAGAATGAGTACTTTCCATAATTTCTAAGGCTACTTTGATATATATGAATATTAGTGTAGGGGGGTCAGAATTATTGCAAATAGCTGTACATAATTTGAGAAATATTTATAAATATATCTTTTCTTATGCTATGCTGACATCCACTGCTCTCTTATTTCTAGTGTCATTCTAATTCCTGGTAATCCCTACTCAATACTGGAGCACAACAACTCAGATGTTAGTGACATTGACAATGACATTTACAGTGACTGCTGTGAAGGGAATGCTGAATTTGATTCAAGGTGAGTATCTGAATCTTGTGGTTTTATATTGTTACATTTCATATCCAGTAATGAGTAATTACTAATAATTAAATTCTAGAATAAATATGATCATTGATGAAATGAATAACTCAGATGACAGTGAGCTATCAAMTGACAGGTATCTATGCCAAAATTGCTTATAATGTACTTTTTTATATATAAAGTTGATGCATAGTAACTTATGAAGCTTCAGAAATGTGGAGGAACTAACCAGTAAATAATAGTGTGAAGACTTGCAAAACAATTAAGGAAATTGATAGGGCTACCTTGATGGCTTTATTTGGACAGTTGGACCAAAGCCAATAAAATCAGAAATGACTTCATAAAATCAGAATACTTGTTGTGTTTTTTTTTTTTCACTACAACTAAAATTCATGAAGTTTTTTTGACCTCCTCTCATTAAAATTATGATTTTCATTTGTAGTGAAGAAGATGAGCTAACATTAACAGCCTTAGAGTGTCCTGCTGGAGAATTGACCATGACTGCAATTGAGGGAGTGTCAGAGGAACAAGCTGAGGAACCTTGGAGAGAAATTGATTTTCCTGATCATTATTATGAAGAGATAACAAGTAACAACACTACAGCTACTACAACACCAACTGGTGATGCTTCAGGTCCAGTTGAGCCAACCGGTGATGCTTCAGGTCCAGTTGAGAAAAAGAAAGTGGAGGATAACTTTAAAGACAGATTTAATCAGCTAACCACAACTGCCAACCTCAAGAATATGGTCTCCCTTTATGAACAAGCAAGATTTATTGTATCAGTTGAAAAATTAGTTGAATTGTCTGGATGTGTATGTACGCATATGATTGAAGGAAAGGTATGTGGGGCATCTTTAACCCATTCCACCAAGACTGTTGCTTCACGAGTAGTTATTACATGGAAGTGCAGCGAGGGCCACTTTGGTAAATGGGAATCCTCTGAAGTATTATCAAAGAGCAGAAATACCAATATATACCTGATAGATTGCTTGATCCCCATAGCTATTCTCTTGCCTGGGAATAACTATGCCAAATTTGAACTTTTGGCAAAAGCAATGAACTTGAAAGTTATTGGTAAAACGGCTTTTCTAAATTTCCAACGCCACTGTGCTGCACCAGTTATTTCTAACATGTGGGTCAAGATGAAAGATGCAGTATCAGATATTCTTAAGAGTGATGACAACATTTGTTTATGTGGAGACGGGAGAAATGATTCTCCTGGTCACTGTGCCAGGTACTCAGTTTACAGTTTGATGGACCACTCATCAAAAGTGCTTGTGGACATTGAAGTTGTGGATAAAAGAGAGTGTGGTGGAAACTCAACCATCATGGAAAGGGAAGGTTTACGACGACTCCTCCATCGGCTTATGTCAAAACTTGCAATTAAAGAGTTATGCACTGATGCTTCCTCAACAATCATAAAAATGCTTCGAGAAATGAAAGGTAAAAACTGCATAGATTCACACAATACACAATACAATATGAATATAAACACAATACGACTGTTCTTTATGTCAAACAGAATTGCCACATTTTTGTGAACTGTAGTATTTGATGTTAATTATATACTGCTTACTTTTTATCAGAAAGGTTCCCAGAATTGAAAAATTTATGCCATTCTCTTGATGTCTGGCATAAAGCCAAAAAACTTTCAAAATCTTTGCACAAGGTATTTAATGATAATAACCTAGCTTGAGTATACATTTTCAGTATTTCAAGAATATAAACTGTGTGTAGTTTTCATAAATCTGTATTCTACACTGTACAGATGGTTTACAATAATAGTGACATGGCTCATAACCACTTTTCAGGCTGCCAAGGTGAAGGGTTGCGAAGACCTGAAAGTTTGGGTAGAGCCAACAGTGAATCATTTCTGGTACTGCTGCCAAATCGCAAATGGTGATGCTGAGATCCTGAAGGTAAGACTCATTATTTGTTAACAAACATTCCAGACGAGAAATATTATGAGATGCAACCTTTTTGCCCTAGCAGTGCATTACTTTTATTTTTCTTGGAGGAATCTTGGTTAGGACTTTTACACCATGTTTGTGGTGAACATACATGGGCCGAATCATCATGTAGTCATGAACCTGAGACAGAGTCCAACACAAAATACCTAAGAAAATCATCAAAGGCCATGGAAGCCTTAAGGAAGATTGTTTTGGATGCCAAGTGGCTTAAGACCCTACATTTTTATGTAAAATTCAGGTAAGACATAACTATGTATGGTCAAGAGCCAGCACCTCAAATGAAGTGACCTACAGTAACTTATGGGTACTGTTTGAAATATAACACATTTTATATATGTTTAGACATACCGGTGACCTTGAAAGCTTCAACAGTATGATGACCAAATACTTACCAAAGAGAATGGCATTTGAGTAAGATAAATAATATTTATGATATTATTATAATTCTACTATTATAATTCATATTAATATTATTTTAATTTTAATTATAATTTTGAATACAGAAATCAAACTAAAAAAAAATATTGCAATAACCAGTGTGAAATTTTCATTAGTGACAAAGTACAGTATTTACAGCATAGAGCTTCATGTATACGTATGATTTGTTGTAATAATATACCAATTTACACATATTATGTCTGCTGCATATTTAAAAAAAGTCTTCTCTATACTCAGGTATCAATACTTCATCATGAGGACTCTTCTAGCAGCAATCGACCACAACATGCATTTATTCCGTAAACCAAAAGAGAGTAAACAAGGACAGATTCTTGGACACAGAAAATTCTCAAAAAGAACACAGAGATTCCATGCAGAGGTTGTGAAGGAAGAGAAGCAATACAAATACTTCCCTTGTCTGGCAGCCAAAATGTTGCATGTAAGGGCTAAATTCAAAGGCAGTTTTTCAGCAAAGGTAATAACAAGACATATCAACAAAACCTCAGTAGCATGAATTGATATTACAAGAAGTACTCTTTTCATTCTAGGCAGATACTGATGAATTCAATCCTAAACATATTTTCCCTACTATTGGCATGGTTCCAGCACCATCAACACAAGAACTACTGAAGGCACCATCAAGATTCAAAGCAAATGTGCAAGGACCTGATTCTGAGAATCAAATTGAAGGAGAAAAAATCACAACAGAAGAAGATGCTCCAATTTCATTGTAGTTCGTGTATAAATAACACTTCAACTTTATTTCATTCATTTGATATGTCTTTCAAAAAATTTTGCATGGAATGATTTCTTTGTTTAATTTTACATGCCTGGAATGATTTCTTTGTTTGACAATTACTGCAATGAATGCTAATTTTTAATGAATTAACAAAAAACCAAAGAATATGAAAAATGTCTTTCAAGTCATACTTCAAGTTGGTCAGTACTAACTTTTTTCTTCTAGTTTTTCTTAGAATCCAATAACTTTAACACAGAATTTTAACACAATTTAACACAGAAAGGTGGGGTGTACACCTAACAGTATATAATTATAAATATATAAAAATAAAATATACCTAATTTAGTTTGACAACCTAGTGATGCTTAAAACCCATATAATTTCCATCGGGTGATGGATACTTTCCTCTAATTTTCAAAACTGCACACGAGGGAATAACTCGCCTGTTTCCTCGTCCAAGTTTTCCATACTTCCAGAGAGCAAACTGCCTGTATGCTGCTTTACGGAAACTTTCCATTGTAAAATCGAAATCATCAGCACGTAAGTCACAACGGGCTTTTATGACTACTTCTAGCACATCCCTGTCCAAACATGCAGATAGTAGAAAATGTGTTGTAGTTTGTAACACATACTACTCTTTTGCAGCACAGATTTTCTTGTTCTTCTGGCATTATTCGGCATTTATGACATTTGCACCATTCAGGTACACTGCTTGGTTGGGGTCCATTGATCTCTTCATTTTCAGATGAAAGAAGTTTTTTAGCAAAGTCCAAACTCCCCCTTCCCATACTCAAGAGATTAATCAGCAGAGTGTCTTTTTGATCTGCATCTATACTTGACACAAAACTCTGAAAAAAAGCCATATTGTTACACCAGTGTAATTTTCATGAAGTAGACAGGGACAGGAAACAGGCTCAATTTGCTTACTGTAATTTCTTCTTGAGCATTTTGCAGTTCTTGCTCAAAGCGGGTGTGACCATTGGCCACTGGTGGAGACTGGTCCTCCATTGGAGTGTTATTGGCCTAAAATGTGAATATTTATGTATAAATAAATTGCTACTCTTGAAGAGATTTCAAAACTTAATTCTTGGCATTTTAATTAAAACTATTTTTTTTTTCAATTTGTCTTTGACAAGCAATTAATAATATCATTACATCAACATATGACAGACTCATTACAAGAAATAAAGGACAGTCTAACAATAGATAAAATAATTTTGCAGTATTTAGTGGTGGTATAACTTTTGTGTTGCATATGATGTACTTGTACTCCACTAGATACAGCAATATGCAGAAATTATGATCTTTTTGCTCATACAGCCTTTTGCAAAAATTATGAGAATTGTCTAAATATCTAAATATCATAATATCTATATCCATAAAATATGGCCGATGATATCCCATAATTTCTGATATATTTTAGATATATTTGAAATATGAGCAAAAAGATCATAATTTCTGCATATTGCTGAGTATAACAACAACAATAATTGAAAGACTATATGTACTTTATACACCTATTTTAAAGCTTACCTGGTTTTTACACTTTCCTTTATTACATGAACATGAATTCGTGCATTCATTTCCTTTTGCCTTGCAAGGACAGGCGCCCCGGCCAGATTTTCGAAAACACTGACCTTTACAAGAGCACGTCGCGTCCTCGTCTTGTTCAATGTTCTGTAGAGTTGAAACACTTATATCAGCACCAGCTTTACAAGTACTAGATGCATTAATACGTTGAGTTTCAATTTACACAAGTCTTTTTAGAAGTGATCTCTATTAGCTTGGAATAAACAACCTGTAAATTGTCTTCTCGAATTTGTCACTTTGAGAGCAAAGGCTATTCTAACTATTCCATCGAACCAAAATAAATGATTGAGTGAGGAACTTCGCTCTGCTAAAAGAAACTTTTAAATGGTATCTATTTGTGTGGGGAATGAAAAAGGATAAGAGTTCTGTACTATTATCCTTTGTAATCACGTACCTCTTCAACAGAACTGTCACACGAAGAGTTGTTGTCTTCAACGTCGGTCAAAATAACGCTATCTTCCTGGGGAACTGTTCGACCTACCAAGACTGTATCTGCATCTTTTTTATTCTGTATTCAAATACAATGCAACAACAGATAAAAAATACGTCTAAATATGCTAAAGGCCGTGTCACACTGGCGTTTTTTTCGTGCAACTTGTGTCGCGCAAAAAAATGTTGAAGTTGCACGAGCRTTTTTTTACGTGTGACACCCCCTCATGCAACTTGAACATTTCATTTTTTTGTTGAGAGAAAAGTAGAACTGGCTTCTACTTTTTTCAACATTTTTCGGAAAAACGCGTGTGTGACATGGTCTCTTGCAACTTCCAAATTTTTCAATTAGGCGCACGAACCCATAATAAAGCGAGAATCTGTCCTGTTGTCACTTGTTGTAATAATCAACAAAGATGCCCGACGCCATCTTTGGTAATTTTGATAATTTTGAAGAAGAAAACGAGACAGAAAGTGAGATGATCGTACATTTTCAATTTACGCGTGCAACTTGAACATTTTTTTGTGCGAGCTAAGTTGCAACGGAATTTTGCTAGTGTGACATGGCATCGTGCAACTTCAACATTTTTTTGCGCGACACAAGTTGCACGAAAAAAACGCCAGTGTGACACGGCCTTAAGGGTACTGATATAACGCTAACCTGGTTCTTGCACCTTCCTTTACTGCACGAGCACGAATTTTTACACATTTTGCCCTCTGCTTTACAAATACATGCTCCTTTGCCATTCTTTCTGGCGCATTGGCCGTTGCAAGAGCACTTTGTCTCATCGTCTTCGTGTTCAATATCCTAAATACCGAAAATCGATGTAATATTTTCGATGTAACATTTTCAACGAAGAACTCGTAATATTTTCAACGAAGAACTCGTAATATTTTCAACGAAGAACTCCATGTTCGGGTGGCGAAGTTCTCATAAACTCACCTCGGAAACACTCAGTAGTACTGATTCCTCTTCCACGAAAGAACCATACGCATTAACAATAACCTGTCCCTGTTCATCTTGCCGCCTTTCAAAACTAACTTCCATAACATCCACAATGTAGCTTTCCGTGTCGCTAGCTGGCCGGCTATTTTGACAACCGAATACTAAGACACGTGGGATAGCCTCGACCGCGTGCCGATCAAAACAAAAACAAAGGCGCGCAAAGCATAGCGGACAGGGCTGGGCCTTTAAAACTACTATCAAAATAGCCGTCGATTTGACAAAGACCGATATGATCAAATCAAATGATCTTTTCAGGATAAAATGTCAAGGAAGAGTTCTTTCGATCTATGTAAAAATATCGTTGGGTAAATGTGTTTATGCTTCGCTAGAACCGACCAAAGTTACCGAAATATTCATATTTTCAACAGGTGTGAAACCAACAAGTTGATAAACACGTCAACAAAATAGATCGCTTTATGTTGTGTTTTTATACCCAAGAGCAAGCATAAACTAAACTAAACATTTACCTTGTGTTTATCTCGAGAAGTTTTGTGTTTTGAGACGTTCTAACCACTTTTATCAGGAGGAGGAGGGGGGTGGTACTCCCCTATATTCGCTATACGGGGACATGCCGCCAACCAGGGTATCGTTTTCAGCGATTTTAYTCTGRAACYGGRTATCGTTTTTAGTGATTTTACTTTGGAACAGGGTATAGATTTCAACGAATTTTCTCTGGAACAGGGTTAGGGTTTGATTCCGGAATTATTGATGCAGGGTAAAAATTCACGGGGTAAAAATTCGGTCTACACGCAGGCTAGTGCTGGATTTTCTCTGGAACAGGATATCGTTTTCAACGATTTCACTCTGGAACAGGGTATAGTTTTCAGCGA